CATATAACCTGAGCCGTAGCTTACAGAGCCAGTGGAAGGAGGTTATCTGGGAAGGGGGATTAACAGTCCAGGGAACTGTTGGTGCTCCTGCTGTCTACAACAGGTAGAAGTACATGGAACTTGCGCGGATGCAACTGTATCAGGTAGGCAGGGCAGCAACTTGCGGGCCCTCTCCTCTGGGCACGAAGGGGGTGACATCTGCCACAGTCCAAGGTGGTCGAGCTGTTTCTTGTGCTGCCTGCGCCGGTATGCCCAATGATCTGAGGAAAGCCAGTATTTCAGAAGTGTGTGATAGCTTGTGTGCTTGTGTGTCACGCCAGCCTTGTCCGCCTGTAGTCTGCGTGGGCCCCACTTGTAGGGGATGGCTTGATCCCGTAGTAGTTGTGAAACACGCCGAAAAGATTTCCTCAACTGTATAGTGTGTCTTGAATAGTCTCTGTAAAATGCTAGTTGTGCCCCTTCAAAAGGCACTGTGGGAGAGTCTCTTGTAGCCCCCATAAGTATTCTTCAATCAGAGTCACTCACAAATTTTATCAGGACGTCGCTAGCTCCTTCTCGTGGTGTAGAGTTCGCCCTGGAGAGCCTGAAGCAGGAATCAATCATTACCTGCTTCACTTGCTGTGGTCTCAGCAGCGTGGCTAAGAGCCGTCGGCAGAAATGTGGCAGTTCGGTGCCAGAGATTGTCTCCGGTACTCCCCGGACCCTCAGGTTCCGTGCCTTGTGTCTGTCTTCCATGTCAGCCAGTTGTGCTTGCTGGTCGGCACACTGCTTGCGCAGGGTGTTCAGTGCAGCATCTGTGGCATTTTGCGCCAGCGTTGTACCTTTCGCGCCCTCCTCCACTGCTGCCACCCTGTAGGTTAGCGTAGCAATATCCTCCCTCACCAGTGCCATATCCGCCTGAAACATGGTCTTGATTTCTTTTACCAGGGCTTTGATATCCGCTTTGGTGGCAGGTGCTGAGTCTCCCTGATCCTGGGGTTCCTTAGATGTCTGGCGCCCTCGGCTCAGTATGGAGGGTTCAGTGTAGTGGCTATCCTCGTCCGAGGATTGGGAGGTGTAAGCCTCCGGCGCCATCTTGGGATTTGCCAGCCGCGTGGCTGCGCGCAGAAAAGCCCCGATATCTCCAGATCATGTGCTCGGATCTGCCCGTTGTTTTTTGGTTTTCTTCCCCATGATACAGGGAGTCAGTGCTCCGTCTTTAGTGAGCCGGTATTTATCGTCTCTTTTTTTATAGATCTAAAAAATGTTTTATCCCCCTGTTTTACTGACTGTTCTATTTTCTCTATGCCGATTTCTTCTCTTGGAATTGATGTTTTTTTAAGGTGCCTTTAATAGGCAATGTTTTGAATTTTGCTTAAGATTGATAATACCCAGGTGTCGGAGGTATTTTTGGCCCAGACAGAATGAAAATGTAGGAGTCTTCTTATGAAATCTGATTGGGCCTGCAGATCTTTAGAATTTTTCTTTTCTTTTTAGGTTCGGGATCCTCTTCCTCAAATCAATTTCGTGTTGAAACTTCTCCAAGAAGAATTTCTAGACTTATTCCTTTCCTGGCTGATATGTTCTGATCTTCCAAAAGGACCATTCACAAAACATTTTTCTCTCCATGTGGATGGATTTAAAGACCTTTTTTTCTTGCAGTAAGATTTTCCTATTCTCAACTGCTTTCTGGCAATCTTCGTTTTTATTGAAGCACAGTATGTATACAGACAGAGAATAAACAATTGTAAAGCTTACAGGCGTCATGCTTGTTGTCGCACATACAGCAATGCTCCCTCCCTATTTCCCGCCTGTATTTCCCTACCCAGCCTCTGTGAGTAACTTGAACAACCGAGCGCAACTGCGCAAACTGAACTTTAGAACGTGTTCCGTATATCTCTACTGGGGAAGATAGGGTAAGGGAATCGAGTATTCCTCTTGTTTTCCTCCCTTTCATTTTTTCCCCCCCCTTTTCCGCTTTGGGGGGGGACTAATCTCGTCTCCCACTTTCGTCCTGCTCGAGTATGTGGCTTGAAAGAATGACTCTACGTTAAAAAATCAGTGACCAATATCTGGCCCGGGTGTGTCAGTGTAAGGTCAGTCATACGTGGGAGAAGTGGAGAAGAAGAGAGAGAAAAAAAAAAAAGGGGGGGGAGGAGGGTAGGTGAGGAAGGGAAGGCGGATGTCGGCCAAGGCGGGGGGAAGGGAGGGGGTGAATCCGCCAGCCCCCCCACGCCCCACGTCCCAGCCCCGCGCGTGCCGGCGCTCACCCCGCTATTCGGCCCCCCGCTCCGGCCACCCCGCAGGCCCACGAGCCATGTACTCGATCCAGGGAGCCCAGAGACGGGTACATTTCTCCCCTGTACCTCTCAATTCCGCCGTGAGGCTCTCCATGCTGTATATTTCCTCTACCTTCTCCATCCAGTTCGCAACCGTTGGGACGTTAGTTGACTTCCAGCGAGCCGGGATCAGGCTCTTGGCGGCATTCAAGAAGTGTCTCGTCAGCGATCTCTTGTAGGCCCCCAGGGGCATCGTAGTGTGGTGGAGGAGCATCGGTAAAGGCTGCATCGGGACGTCCGAGTCCAGTAGCTCTCGTAATTTCGTGTGTATTTGTTGCCAGAAGGGTACGATGAGAGGGCAGGACCACCAAATGTGCAGGTCCATGCCGTCTTCGGACTCACATCTCCAAAACATCTGGCCGTTGGCGACAGGCCCATCCAAAAGAGTCGTGAGGGCTTCCGATACCAACCTGTCATGAGCTTATAGTTCATCTCTTGCAGTTTCGCACTGGTCGAATCTTGGTGCGTGAGGGTGTGTATCTTCTCCCAGTCTGAGTCCGCGAGAGTGACACCCGTGGCTCGGTCCCAGTTAGATTGGTATGGTGCCAGGGGGCTCCGAGCTGCATTCAGCAGCATGGAGTACAGTGTGGAGACCCCCTTAGGTATGCGCCTCCCCTCCACGCAAAGGGATTCGAAGCCGGTCAGCTCCCTATGTACCAGCTGCTTGCCCGGTAGAGATTGGTAAAAATGCCGAACTTGTTGGTATCTGAATCGAGTCAGCCCAGGTAAGGGCATCATGGGGGCCAAGGCTTCCAGGGGTTTCAGCTGTCCCTCCGCGCACCAGTCCCCTAAGTATGGTTTGTCCGGGCTTCCCATGCCTGAGATGTCTCTCGGCGCCAGCCCTCCCGCAATCTCGGGATTGTAGATCACCGGTAGTAGCGGGGATGGACTAGTCGTTAGGCCCAACCTGTAGCGGATAGTGGCCCACACTTGCAGAGTTGCCCCTATAAGCGGGTGCCTCCGGATGTCCCTCGTCTGTATGGGCCGCAGTAGCCACGTGACCCAAGGTATGCGCTCTCTGGCTTGTGCGCGTTCTAGGTGGACCCATTGCTTATCAGTGTCGGGTATGTGCCAGTCCACTACCCTGAGGAGGTGTGTCGCGTGATAGTAGGTTTGGAGCGAAGGGAGTGCCACTCCGCCTTGGCATTTTGGGCGAATTAGCTGGGCGTGTCGGAGTCTAGCTGCACCCGCTGCCCACACAAATTGTCTGATGGCCATGGTCAGGGAGCCGAAGAAGGCCCTGGGCAGGGTGATGGGAATGGTCTGAAACAGATACAGGAGCCGCAGCAGGAGGTTCATTTTAACCGCGTTTATTCTCCCAAACCAGGACACACAAGTCGCGCCCCATCTCTTCATGTCCATCCCTAGTGTCGCCAAGAGGGGCAGGAAGTTGTCGGGGAACAATCTGGTCAAGTCCGTCGTCAACCAGATGCCAAGGTATTTAATGCGCTGTGGGCACCATCTGAAGGGAAAATTCACCCTCAGATGGGTCGTCAGGTCTGGGGGTAGACAAAGCGGCATCGCCTCGGACTTGTCCGTGTTCAGTTTGAAGTTGGAGAGCGCCCCATAGACCCGGAAGGCCCGAAGTAGATTTGGCAGTGTCACCAACGGGTTTGCAATAAAAAATAGCAGGTCGTCTGCGTATGCAGCTACCCTATGCTCAACGCCTCCCACAGTGAACCCCGTGATACCCCCATCCCGTCTGACCGCCGCCAGAAATGGTTCGAGCGTGAGGGCAAACAGGAGGAGGGACAGGGGGCATCCCTGCCGCGTCCCATTGGCAATCGAAAAAACTGGGGACAGGGCGCCGTTTATCCGCAGGCGGGCCCTCGGGGTCGCATACAGGGCAGCTATCCAGGTCTGAATGTTGGGGCCGAAGCCCATTACCCGTAGGGTCTCCCTCAGGAACTGCCAGTCTACTCTATCAAAAGCCTTCTCGGCATCCGTGGAGAGCAGGAGGCCCCCGCCTGCAGTTCCCTTGGTGGCATGTATGAGGTTGAGGGCCCTGATGGTATTATCCTTTGCCTCACGCCCCGGGATGAACCTGGTCTGATCTGGGTGAACCAGGTCTGGAGCCACCACCCCCACTCTGCGGGCTAGAATCTTCATGAATAGCTTGAGATCCGCATTGAGTAGAGAGATAGGTCTGTAACTGGCACACGATGTAGGGTCTTTAGTGTCTTTCGGCACCATCGCCACTGTAGCCATGAGGGTATCCTCAGGGAACCTCCAACCCTCCAAAACGGAGTTGAGGCACTCCAGCAGCTCCGGCAGGAGAATCTCCCCGAAGGTGCGTATGTATCACACGGGAAAGCCGTCCGGTCCCGGGGCTTTATGCATTTTCACGGCTTTGAGGGCTCCTGTGAGCTCTTCCAAAGTGATGGGGGCATCGAGGGTTTCGGCCTGAGCCTGTGTGAGCTTCCGGGTCACGTGCAGTTCCAGATATTCCCGAATCCCATCCAGGCGCTGTCGAGGAGCCCCCTCCCCAGGGTCCCCCGGCAGGTTGTATAGTTTGGTTTAGAACTCCTGAAATTCCGCCATTATGCCATCCGGTCTGCGTATAGGGGGCGCATTCGCCTTTTGCAGGGTGGTTATTTGGGACATTTGGCGCTTCTTTGTAGCATTCTAGCGAGCAGGCGCCCGCATTTGTTGGAATATTCATAGAAGAATCTGTGGGATTTACGGAGCGTATACGTGAGGTTCCTGGACAGCAGGCTCTTCAGTTCTCTCCTCGCCTCCAATAAAGATCGGTAATTGTCCTCCGTCGGGTCTGACCTGTGCGTCTGATCTAAATGCGAAGCTCGGGCATAGAGGTCCTTCAATCTAGCGTTTTGTTCCCTTTTGCATCGCGAGCAGAGCTTTATGAAATGACCCCGCAGGACGCATTTGTGGGCCTCCCATCTGATCTGGGGCGAGGTGTCCTGAGCACGGTTGTCCGCGAAGTATTGAGAGAGAACCGCTCTCATCTCCGCTTGAAGTAGGGAGTCCTCAAGGACTTGTTCATTCAACCTCCATTGTCTACAACTGGGTTTAAACAGAGGTGAGCGGATCGTAGCCAGGACCGGGGCGTGGTCTGACCAGACCGCTGTTTGGATGTCACAAGACTGGAGAAGGTGTAGATATTCCTGAGCAATCAAGATATAGTCTAAGCGGCTGTAGCCGTGATGCACTTGCGAATAGAAGGAGAAGTCCCTGTCTTCCGGGTGGAGAACTCTCCAGGTATCGGCCAATCCCGTGGCACGCAGCGCCTTGCCCACCATTCGAATACATAGGCCCGAGTGTGAGCTGTGTCCCCTTGAGGTGTCCATGCGTGGGTCCAGAGGGACATTGATGTCACCCACTACAAGAAGGACCCCCTCCCTGAACTGGTCTAGTAGCTGGAGGGTCCTGGAGAGAAAGCGGTGTTGGCCCATGTTCGGGGCGTATATGGACGCCAGTGTGTATGTCCTATCAGCTATCGTGCCTTTTAGGAATAGATAGCGGCCATTCGGGTCCGCCTTGGTCTCCACACAGCTGAACGGCACGTGCTGCGCAATGAGTATCGCCACCCCTGCCTTCTTTGCCAGCTGATGGTTCGCGAAGTATCCAGTCGGAAACCTCTGGTCTCGAAGAAGGGGTCCCGTCCCACCTCTGAAGTGGGTCTCCTGGAGGAATGCTATGGAGGCTCGAGCGGCCCAGAGGGACCGAAGCAGGTGGGACCTCCTCCCCGGGGCGTTCAACCCCCTAATGTTGTTGGTCCAGAGCCGCAGGGGAGCAGGGCAAAACCCCCCAACCCGTGGCCCAGCCATGGTCGACAAGTAAGGGAAGGGAGGAAAAGCGGGAATGGAAGAAGAGAAGAGAAGAAAAAGGAGAAAAAAAAAAGGGGGGGGAAGAAAAGGTGCAGTCTAGTGGATCTGTCAAGTGAGGAAGGTTTGTGACCAGGTAGGTCTACCCCAGCCGGGGTAAATAGGACGTGACTGTTTGGGGAGAACTCGACAGGTCTGAGTCCCCAAGCCCTTAATTGACTCAGTCTCCCGCAAACCTCCCGCAGTCTGTCCGCGGGGACGTGCGCGGTGCCCGTACATAGGGGCCCGTGACTATCTATCGAGGTGTGAATGGGGTACCCAAATAGGATTTACCAACTCCTAACGGCCCCCGGCCTACTTAAAATGAAATGGAACAATAGCCAATTACAAAACAAGGTTCGGAGCTGTCGTTATGGAGCGCACAGAGACCCGCAGCTCCCCAGGACGCCCCCTGTGCTATGCCTCAGAACCGTGTCCCCCTAGGCGTCCTCTGTGCCCACCACTACCCCCACCACCCCTAGCAGGCCACCTCCCCCACCCTCCCAGCAGAAGCGTTAGTGCCCCAACAGCGTCCCACCTCCCCCCAACACCAAAGTCACCCAGTTCCGCCAGGCTTCCGAGAGTCCTCCAGACCCATATCCCCACCACCCAAAACCCGCCGGGTGAGGGATCACCTAAGATGCTATAGATACTGGCCCGAGAGGGGAGGGGGGTCAGGGGAAAAAGGGGGGGGGGCACATCTCTCTTCGGCATAGTGTCCCAAGTCCTTCCTGCAGTGGGGGGGAGGAGGAGGGGGGGAACGAGGGAGGCCCACCGCGGAGGTCCCCAACCACCACCCAACCTAGATGCTAATGCCCAGTATGGCCAACCACGATGCCCATCCCCAGTACCTCCGTAGAGTCCAGTCGCTTCCTCACTCCTCATCATCCTTGCGGGATGCTCCCTCTCCTGCTGTGGATCCGGCTGTGGGCTCCGGGGCCCCTGTCTCCCGCTGGGCGCCAACGGGGTTTCCAGCAGCCAGTTGCGGATGCATATGTGGGCGGCGGACATCAGTGCCTCCTTGAGGCTATATGCGTGCAGGCAGCAGAGAACATCCCTGGGCTTCCCGTCTTGTCTTGGGGGACCCAGAGCCCTGTGAATACGATCAAACTGGATCTCTTCAGGGCAGTTACGCCCCAGGATGTGCTTAAATAGAGCCCGGGCCGTGTCCGGTAGGGGTGAAGTATCCGGCTCCGGTAAGCCGCGGATCCTAATATTCTGGCGGCGGCTGCGGTTCTCCAAGTCCTCAACCTGTCGCCGCAGTGTGAGGAGGAGTTTCCCTTGCCTGGTGGCTGCTATCTCGGCTGCCCTATGCTGGGAACGGCTCGCCTGCGCCTCCGTCTCTAAGGCGTCCACTCTCACCTCCACAGCAGACAGGTCCGTGTGCAGTGTGGTAATCTCCTCTCGTACCGCCGCCCGGAATTCTTGGAGCATGCCACTGGAGTCCGCCTTCGTGAGAATAGTTGCCGCAATCCGGGTAAGTTCCTGCCGGATCAGATGCAGCGCGCCGCCCTGGTCTCCATCCTCCGACGAGATTCCTGCGCTTTCAGCGCCAGGGGAGGTTGGCGCCATATTGGCAGCAGGCCCGGTTCCCCGCAGATCTGCCGGCGTGGATACATAGTCATCCATCGTGCCACTATATTTACGGGGCGAACCAATGGAGGGTGTCCCCTGCGAAAGGAGCTTCTTCGTCCGGACCATGGTAAGGCCGGTTCCAGCTATTTTCTAGCTAATTATTAGGCCGAGGGCACGGAGCACAGGACCGGACTGTTTTTGCGATGTTGTACATTTGCGACCAGGCATATTTTTACACTTTGTGGTGTTTGTGTTTGGCTGGAATTTTCCGCTCTCTCATTTACTCTCTCATTTACTGTTCCCATACAAATTATATATTGTTTTTTTCAGGACAAAAGGGGCTTTCTTTACATACCATTATTTATATAATCTCATGTTATTTAACCCAGCCCCTGTCGCATGTTAAGCCACAATGTGTTTTTTTTTTTTTTAATAATACCTGGTGGAGGATTCATTATTTTCCACCCGGGATTATTAAAAAAACAAACACATTATCCTTGATACAGTGCCATAGTTGCCAACATTTGAAAAAAAAAATTCCAAGGACATTTTGCAGCACAGCTATCAATTACTGTCTGGGTATAATATCCCTGGACAGTCAGTGCTTTCTGTATAATACAGGGTTGTGTGTATAATAAATTGGGACACTCAGTGCTCCCTGTATAGTGCTGCTCTCTGTATAATACAGGTCTGTTTGTGTATAATATCCCAAGACAGAGAGCAGCACTATACAGGAAGCACTGACTATCCCGGGATATTTTATACACACAGATCTGTATTATACAGATAGCTGAGCATAAACCCCAATCTCTAGACTACTAGTACCTGTCAACAGCAGCTCCCAGGCGCGTGTAACAGGGCTAAAGTGTGCGGCAGCTCACACAGATTATTCAGCGGTAAAGTGCACTCGCTGGCAGAGCCAAACTGGGAATCCCTGGGAATCCAAAGCAGCCCTGGAAAAAAAACGTATGCCATTCACACAAGTCATATATATATATATATAGTACAGTAAGCACACAAGCTCACTGACATGCGCAAATAGGCTTACTGACAGACAAAACTCTGACTCACACACAAGCTTACTACAGACACTCACTTGTATAAACAGAAGGCTCACTACAAAGAAGTTCAGGGACACACACACAAGCTCACTAAAGACAAGCTCACTGACACACATGCTCACTAAATAGAAGCTCACTGACACACACAAGCAGTACCATTTTAACAGAGTTAAGGGCCCCTGGGCAAAGCAATGCACTGGGGCCCTTCCTACACAACAACTCACAGGAATTTGAATTATTGATAGACTGCGGAGTCCATACACACACACAGACTGCTGAGGTCATACACACACACACACACACACACATATTGCTGAGTCCATACACACAGGGCCGGATTAACATAGGGGCTGATGGAGCTGCAACTCCAGGCCCAGGCCCAGGCCCAGGCCCATGGGATAGGCCCATTGATTTATTAAAAAATATATATATATATTTTTTTTTTTTCCACATTTTTTTTTTCCACACACTACTCTTAGGGATTCCACCTGGCTTTTATTTTATTGGCACAGCCAGTATTTGAGGCTGCCTGGCTGGTGCCAATATTGCAGTGATACTGGCAATACAAATGCTGGTATTTTTCTCAGTATAAATAAGAGATTACTCTGCAATACCAGCACTGGCCAGTAGGGGTCGCTGTGTGTGTGGAGACAGGCAGGGATAGGAAGTTCCAGCATATCCATCCCTGCCTATCTATAATCACTGATCTGCAGGATTGGCAGGCAGCCTGACATGCATTCATGCCAGGCTGGCCTTCTAATTCTTTGGGCAGACATGTCCTCTTTTTGGGCATGTTCGCCCCTTTTGGCAGGTTATGTGATTTGTGTCAGTGGCACATCCTTTTACCATGCCCATTGACTTCCTGCTTGACTGGACACTGCTGGGGTTATGGATTTACTTGAAAGATGAAAACATAAATTAGAGAGAGATTAGCCTAGGGTATGTGTTTTCTTATAGCTGCTGTTTTCTATCTCTCCAGCACCATCTCCATCAGATACATGACGCTTGGGAGAGTTTTACTGTTTTTGGTCGATATGATTTTGTAGTTAGGCCCGTATGGGGCCCACTGGGCTCTTAATCTGGCCCTGCATACACACACACACACACACACATACTGCTGAGTCCATACACACACACAGACTCTGCTGAGTCCATACACACACACAGACTGCTGAGTCCATACACACACACAGACTGCTGAGTCCATACACACACACACAAACTGCTGAGTCCATACACACACACACAGAGACTGCTGAGTCCATACACAAACACACAGACTGCTGACTCCATACACAAACACACACTCTGCTGAGTCCATACACAAACACATACAGACTGCTGAGTCCATGCACACACACATACAGACTGCCGAGTCCATACACACTCACAGACTGCTGAGTAAATACACACACACACACACAGACTGCTGAGTCCATACAGACACACAGACTCTGCTGAGTCCGTACACACACAGACTGCTATATCCGTACACACACACACACACACACAGACTGCTGAGTCCATACACACACACAGACTCTGCTGAGTCCGTACACACAGACTGCTTAGTCTATACACACACACAGACTGCTGAGTCCATACA